TTTTAAGTAAATTTTCCCCGAGATAATTAAATTTGATTTGTTTTAGAAAATTTTTAAATGAAATTTTCACATTGAAAAACGTTTCTTCTCTCTTTTATTATATTTCTTGCATTTTGTAAAATTATTGGTAGGGTTTTAATAGTCGACTTTTTTCTTGTTATTTTCTTATGTGCTTTTATGAACATTTTCTAAATTAAAGGTAAACCACAAAGTTGATTTTTAGAGCGTCTATCTTTCTATTAATTTTATTATTATGTTGTTTTCGAAATAAAATTTGTTACGGTATGTTGAATTTGTTTATCCGATGTCTATCCGAATTGTAATGTTGTTAACAATTTTATTGAAAATGTTGTTAATTTTCTTTTATTTGAATTTAGAGTCGAATTTGTTGATTTACATTAGAATTGCAATATTTATGTTTATGATAATGATGACTTCACGCCCAATTCATCACAGATGTGTGTGAATAAATATTTATTATAAAGTTCCTTTGCATATATAAGAACTTTTGAGATTAGAACCACTCTATTTAAACTACCAATTGAGCCGACCCATACATTGAAATATCAACGAACAATGTTAAGCACGCCATTCTTCTACACATGTTGTTCTAAAAATCTGTAAAATTTTAATTAAAAATCTGTAAAATTTTAAAAATCTGTAAATATTTTAGGAATTCTAGATAAGATAAGCTTAGTTCTTGTTATTCTGTTGCCAAAAATAAACCCATCATTCTTATTTTACCTTAAAGGTAAAGAAAAGACCAAAAATGAATTCAATTTGATTTAAGTAGTTCAAACAGCTACAGTTTTAAAGTGAGATGTGATAATAATGTCCTGTGCATTGTATAATTTTCGATTTAATTGATTTCTGTTATAAAGAAGCAATAAAAAAATTTTTAAAACTTATTCCTGAAAGAATATGAAAAACTGAAGAATATTTACTTTTATTTTAAGTTTACAATTTTGAAACAGCAATCTTTGACTAATTTTATATGTATACCTAATATTATTAAAGTTCCTTCAAAAATTAAGTTTTATAAATTTTTAAGAGAATTGAATGAAACAAGGGAACATCTTCTTTGGACGACAGCAGTCATTCACGACTTATTGTAGCCTCATCACGCACCCGCATGTAATATCTCGTTTCTGAGTACAAAGCTGGAGATATCCTAAGAGAAAGAATGTAAATCGCAAATGTGAAAGGTGCTTTCGTTACTACCATCACAAAATCTGCAGAAGTGGCAACACAATTTCGCTAGTTTATGCAGATGATATTTTACTGCGCAATAGCACGAACCCGGTTTCTATTCATTTTCAACAAGTCCTCCGTTAATTTTGTTCGAAAATTTACCAAAAGTATTTAAAAGTATCTTCATTAGATTTAGATATCTTATGACTAGTAGTTCCAACTGTTAAATTCCTTCGTTTTAAATTAAGATAGAGACTTTGTTTGAATTTTAAATTGAAAAAGTTAATTTTTGATAGGAAATCTTGCGTTTCCAATTATACTTTCTTTTTTCTTGTTTCAAATTTATTTTTTTTTTTGCTTTTTCTCAAAATATTTTCTATTTTAGTTACGTTTTGAATTTATAAAAGCTGATTTTAATCTCGAATAAAAATTTTAGAACAAACAATTGCGATTTTATACAATTTTAATAAAAGTTTTGTACAGATATTTCATAAAATTTAATTATAAATGAAAAATTCTGAATCTAATAAAAATTTCAATATTTTATCGAATTTTAATGCTTCAATTTTTTTTGTTGAAAATAGATTCTTATAGTTTTAATTCGTGAATATATTTTCAGGTTTAAGGGAAGAAAACGGGAATATACCTGAAATCTTAATAAAAATAAATTGTCATTGAATTTTACCAAATGCAATAGCAAGAGTAAAGAAAACTAAATGGATGACAATAAAATTGAATAGTGGTTATACTGGTTATGTTTAATTTTTAGTTTTGTTGCCAAGAATTTAAAACGCAAGATGCAATAGAGATAATTTTTAAACGATTTAATGTTTTATTGTATTCATAAGCTTGTCACTCAGTTGGTTAGCTACGTTGGGAGATTATGTAGAAGTATGCCGCATAGACACATTGTATTGTTGTTTATTTAGGCAATATTGTATTTTCTATTACAATATTGCACATTGTTTGATTGAAGATTGATAACACGAAAATATATATTTCGAAAACTCATTTCACATGTCCTTTCTTAAGAAACATTTTACAAAGCAATAAAATAGCCACGATTCTATCAATTAGCATCTATATTAGTATATACCTTGCAGACTTTTCCAGTCGCATTTTTATCAGTTTTCAGTAAAATTTTACAGCTCCAACTTTGAGGCGTCATAACTCGGAAGGAAGGTTTGAAAAGGAAAATGCCGTTAGATATTTTTTGTTCGTTTGGACGCTTTCTGTCATATTGCTTCGGGAATACCATCGATTCTCGGACATACTATACAATCTTTTGCATCCTAATGTATTATTGTACATGCTTTAGACATCTTTTTTTCAGTTTCATTCAGAATTCGTAAAACAATTGTTTGTGGATTTAGTTAAATTACATGATATACCGAGTAATCATCACATTCTGGTCTTTAGTTTAATTTCATCTAAAAGTACAGCAATCGTACGGCAGACTTGCTGATACAAGATAGTTAAAGATTAATTCAAATTTAGAAAAAAAAATTATTAATAATATTTTCGAATTTATGTGAATATTTTATATATGTAAATTCAATCATACAATTCAATACCTTTAGACGTTTGGTCTAAGTTTTAGAGAATTTGCATACAAATTACCTTAAAAATTTTGATATTAATGACAAAAGCTTGATGAATGAATGTTTCTTTTAAATTTTTAATTTTATTCAAAAAAGAAAAACAAACTAGTTTTAATATTGTGGTCACTTTGTAGAATTTCAATTCATATTCCCCATGTCATTTTTCGAAATAAAATTATTTTGTAGATTTAAGGTTGTCAGATTGACACCAGAACAAACCGGGACAAAGATTATTCTCTTTTTTTTACAAAACGCATAAAATTTATGAAATTAAAAAACAAAAATTTACTGCTTACCTAAACTTGTTTTTGGGTTGTTGTTAAAAAACGGACAGAAAAACATGGCCAAATATTAGATGTTCATTATAAGTTTAACAATTTCTACCTTCTAATTTCTTCTTTTTTTTTATTTAATTTAGAAAAAATGTTTATGGAAGTAAAAAGAATATCGTGATTTTATCAGAGACACTATGATTTTTTATACTGCAATTTATACCAATAACATTGCGTTTTCCCTCTGTTCTTAAAAAAATCTCAATATTAAATGTTTCTAAAAACAAAAGTCTGTTGTTGCTTGCGTTTTGTTGTCACACTGTTGTGTTATGATTTAAATTCAATAATATTGTTGCCAATAATTTGAAAAAATACGGGTTTTTTTACGGACAAGCACATAAAAAACAAGAACACGAGATTCTCAGAATTTTTTATTATTATATTATTTTTGTTAAAAATCGTAAACCGGGACAATGCATCGTCGCGAGAACAATTTTTCGGGACACGAAAAAAAATTTATTAAAACTGCAACAATTCCGGAAAACTGAGACGTCTGACATCTCTATATAGATTAACATTGTGAATAAATTAAAATTTTAAGAAATTATTACACATATATATGAACATATGTACATTCGTATAACATATATATTGAAATGTTATGTATAATAAAATTATTATTTTTATTTAACTATAACGTATTATAATATTTTGTTTTGATTTTGAATTTTATAATACCAATAAAATAATAAAATTTCACTTTTCTACAAAACAACATTTTAATATACTATTGCCTAAACCGAGTGAGAGAACTGTGGGAACGAACAGAAGAGAAGAGATAAAAAGAGAATTTTCTCATTTCTTTTTATAAGCTTTTAAATTAAGTATTAGTTTAGAAACTCTAGACAAAACGAATATAAACGGAATAGCGAACCGTTCATATGTTTGTTCATACATGTATTTGTATATGTATGTATGTGTTTTTTATGAAATAGATGTATTTAAAGTTAAGAAAGAAGTATTTTTAATCACGCTATGAAATAAAATCATGTGAACAAAAACAATTATTATGTATTAGTAAGCACCTATACATTAGTAAAACCTAGCTTTAAGAACCAGGATTAGAAAAGTTATCAAAAAATTTTCAAAAATTTATTAACAAAACAAGGTCAATCAAATGAACTATAATCGCAAAGCCGAACAAGAACGAAACAAAACCTGATTGAACTCAATGTTGTTAATTTTAATACAATTGTAGTATTTTACTACATTTTGGTATTCTATGCTACTATACTACTGCAAAGCTATTTTCACTACTTTTTTGCCTTTGTTTAGTACAAATTATTAGCATTATTAGCATTGGTTTATGAAAATGCCATTTCATTTTTCTAAAATTAAAAATTATTTTCCAAAAGAAATTTATATTGTTAATGTTTAAATTCGCGCTTTACGCAATATGTGAATTGAGAGTAACCAGATCCATTTGACATTAGAATAATAAAACAATCAATATATATCTACCGTTGCCAAAGTCGAAAATACCAATACGTTGCGTAGGCGCGTAGCTCATTTGGCTGATTTGATTTAACATGCACGGATATAAAAAAAATTTTACGCAAGCACTTCCCGCTACGCATCTATCTAGTCACATGCCTTACTACTTGTTTGATGTTAATGATAACCCCAAATTACTACGCCAAAGCTCTCCATATTACCTTTTTTAAGACAAAAAGCTACTGAAAAAAAAATTTGATATTAACAACACTGGGCAATTGAACACTTTTATTAATTTTTTTTTGTTTTTTTTTTGTGGTTTCGTTTGTTTCGAATGTAGAATTATTTTTTATTTCCAACAGATTGGAAATGGCAAAAATATTTTATTAATTTTCTATATTAATCAGTAACATGACGAATGTGGTAGTCGCATAAATTAAATTTCTATTTCCGAATTATTATTCGTCATTATTAGTAGGTTTGAGTTAAAAGGAATGAGATTAGATAAATTCTTTTGTTATTTTATATTTTTGTTAATTAAAATTGACATATTAAATGCACAGTCATGTAATGTTCATAGTTTTAAATTTATTGAAAACAAGGTATTTTGTGAAGCTGACAATGATGTTTCAACATCATGTTTAGGAAAACCATTTCCAGTGAAGAGAGCATACGTTAGATGTTCAAATAAATATCATAATTATAAAAATATTCCATTATTGACTATTGATTGCCAAGATAATGGTGAATGGAGTGATAAAATTTTTAGATGTAGACCAGAATGTGATGATAGCAATATATCATTTAATTTAATTAATCATCCTGATACAGAATATCCTCCATGGTATGCTGAAGTAATTGAATTTTATCCGAATTCAACTATAAAAAATTTTTATCCTGGAGTAATTTTAGCAGAAAGGCAAATTTTGACAAAAAGAGAATACTTTGATCCTAGCCTTCCTGAATTTTCTGCAGTTAACCTTGAAATACGAATTCCAAGATTAAAGTATAAAAAACCTAAAAAATATGTTCCAATTTTTAAAACTTATTTTAATAATAAAGATCTTTTTGTTACGATTCCGGGGCTAACCACAGAAGAAATTGCTAATACAACTACTGTTATTTATATAGATCAGAAGGAATATATTCAATTTGATGATGTTACATTACCTGCTTGTGATAGAATATATTCAGAAGAAGATAAAGGAACTTTAAAACTGTTACAGTTTGGAAAACGTTGGTACTTGATTGAATTCTAAATACTTTTAAATTCAGATTTTAACACAGAATATTTATTTTATTTGCAGGATTTCAGATTTATTACCAATTTATGAAGTTCATTGCTATGTACCCCAAGTAAATAAAACTGAAATGGAAGTAGCGTGTTTTAGATTTAATAATGAACAAAGTGAATGTGGAGTTGTAGCATATCGTGCATTAGTACGATGTCAAATTGGTTATCAACAGAACACTAATAATAATAAAGATTTTATAACAACTTGTACATTGTTGGATAATTGGGTTCCTAAATTAGAAGAGAATGATGGTTGTACTTTAGTATGTGGAGAAGTAGACAGAAAATATCGACCAAGACAAACTGAATTAATATTTGGTGGTTCTGAAACCCATAATGGATTTGCTCCGTGGCATGTTGCTATTTATTTAAATAACACGAAGAAACAAACTATTCAACAAATATGTGGTGGCAATATAATTCATTCGAATATAATTTTGTCAGCTGCTCATTGTTTTTATAATCGTGGCACCGATAAAATTAATAATGCTTCAAGTTATATAATTGGTGCTGGTAAATTTTATCGTCGATACGAAACATTAGAAGAATCTGAGCAATACTCAAGCGTCTACGCCATTCATATTCCTGAAAAGTAAGTTCAAATTAAAATTGTTAGTAAGCGGAATTATTTTTTTTTCTAAAGTAAACAATTGGATAGACAATTTGAACAGAAACAACTTGGACAAAGAAAATATCATAAAGCATACAGCTAAAAGTTAGATTTTGTTGTAGTGCACTTGTTCCTTTTGATAGTACCCAACACTCCAAATGTATCAAACTCTAAGTGTATAATATGCATTATGTTATGTAAAAGAGAATTGTAGAGGAATGCGTTAAACTATATAAACAATATTAACCATCTACAAATTTGTTACCAATATTACGGAAGTGGATTGGATTGCTATATACTATTAAAAGGAACGAGCCCAATATAAACAGAATCTATATTCGTTAATATAACTTAAGCAGGTTTTTAATATTTGCGTTGTTTATTTCATAATTTTAATTAAGTTTTTTAATTCTTAAATTTAATTTTAGTTTTGAATCCTTTCCAATACGAAATGATATAGCAGTTTTAATACTTGATAAACATATGAACTATACGGCAAATATTAAACCAGTTTGTATTGACTTTAGTTCACATACAATTCCTGGTGATTTGGAAGGTTCTATTGTTGGATGGGGTGCACGATCAGCTACTGACGAGGAAAGTAATGAATTATTAACAACTAATTTAACAACTTTAACTAATATTAGATGTAAACAAGTAGTTGGTCCAACTGATAAATCTGAAGTTACAAATGAGAAATTCTGCGCTATAAATGAGAATGGTTCAGCAGCTTGTAGAGGAGATAGTGGTGGTGGATATGTTATAAAAAAGAGTATTGATGGTAAAGATCGATACTTTTTACTTGGTGTCGTCAGTATCGGTCTTAATAGTAAAAATTTTTGCTCAAATGGTTTTACGACAGTTTTTACAAATATTTTAATTTATGAAGACTTTATCAAAAAAAGTATTGCGATTGGCAGAAATCGTAACACATATGAACGTTACGAAAACCTAAAAGAAAGATCGAAGAATTCGAATACCTCAACTGTTCTATAATAACATCCTTTATACTACTAAAACCATGCGGAACTGGCATTCCCATAAAAAAATTATAGTAAATCTGGTAGAATCATGGAAATTTATTTGTAACATTAAAAAATAGTCTCAGTGAAGAGCAGTCTTAATGCTTTCCGTTGTGTAATCAGACGACGTACAACTGCACTATCAAGTCATAAAATTTTATTTAATGTTTAAGTAAAAATAGTATTCTAAATAAATATTTTTTCTTTGTATAAAATTAAGGATTAAATTGCAGGACAAAAGATATGTAATATTTTTATTTTTCAAAGGACTAGATTAAGAAAGAAGGTTGTGTATAAATTTAAAAAATATATTAAAGATTATAAAAAAAGAATTGAAGAAATTTAAAGCGGCCATCTGCAGTATTCTTTTTTTTCATTTTTATTTAAAAATAATCAAAAATTTATACAATTGCTTTTATTCTCAAATTCAACATGTGCCCAAAACAAAAATTAGGTTATTAGACTCTCATTTCATCTCATTTCCCTATTCTTTTAGTTCAATTTAGCTCATTACTTGCAATAACAATAACAAAGATGGCTGTCTGTTTTCTTTTCGTTATTTTCTTTATATTTTGCAAAGGAATACTTTTGTTTTTCAAAGCAGATGTAGTATGAAAAAGAAAGCGAAATTTTCTAATTTTCATAATATAAAGTGAAAATTCTTACTACTGTTTTTTTCCTAACTAAATTTAAACACAGGGTGTCTTCTTTTAGGGGATTATTAGAACTTTGAATCATCGAAAATATGTAAAATTTCGTTTCACTCGATCTTGTTTTTCGTCTTTTAAAATTTATAACATCCTAAATAATAAAAATTCAATTGTAAGAACAAACCAGAAACTAAAGCAAAATAAAATTAACAAAATATTATAATGAAAACTAAGAACGCGTTAGATTTATTTTTCAAGTGTCATAGCAGATTAACTGTAAATAAATTCATAATATTTCGCTGTAGCCTTGTAAAGACCATTTATGTTTTGTTGAAAATAGAATAAGAGAGATTTTTCATAGCGAAATGTCACAATAAAATACACGTATAGAATACACGTACATATTTAAATGGGACTGCCCACAATCAAGCGCTATTTCTATTTTACCGCTGATGGTTTTTTGTGACATTATCTGTTTCCATTGTGTATGTGACATTATATGCAAAATACTGGACAGTTGATTTTACCATTCCGCTTTTGTTCTGAATTAAAAACGGAAAACGTCCGTCGTTGTTGTTCACCATTTGGTTTTTACAATTACTAAATCTTTCGTCTAAAATTGGGATATAATCTGGTTAAAATATTTTCTTAACATTCCAGGTGTTACAACTAACCACAATAACAGTAAAATTAATAATTAAAACACGGTGTGATAATTAAATTTTCAAAAAGCTATTTTGGGATGCCTTGTATACTAAAGCTGTTAAAGCGAAACTTCAACATTGTAGTCCGAATAATTAAATTCTTTTTCAAGTTGTATGACATGTACAAGAACTAATAAAATTTCTTTCTGAGTTATGTTACAATGCCGGTTTATGCGAAATTGCAACATTTAAAAGTTTAAAATATTAATTGTATACACTCTGTACATTCTAAATTATTTAGTGTAAGTTACAATAAAATATAAAGAAATTCTTAGTTATTTTCTTTTTTTCTTTAAAATTGATAAAATCATTATTTTTCCTTTTCGCTCAATTTATGATTTCATTTTTAATGTTTTAACGTTGGTAATAATTTTAACGACTTTCTTACGCAACATAAAATTTTACTACTTTTGATGTTCTTGATGGCTATGATATTGATAATAATGTTAAAAATGATAGTATGGTGGTAAAGTTTATATGTTATATAATAATACTGAGGGTCATGATGTTAGTGTTTTATGATTTTTAATATTATAATATTATGTACGCCTAAAATGTGATTGAAAAACATGAAAAATATGCAAATATTTCGATTTTATCGGCAACTTGCTAAAATAGAATATTATGATATTAGGATCTTATAGAAATCATCAAGTCTAAAAATAAATTTTTTTCCTGCTTTTTTTATTATTATATGAAAATTTCGACGTATTAAGGAAATGTGTATATACAAGAATCCTTGGAAAAAAAATAATGAAGAAAAAAAAGAAGAGAAAAAATAAAGCATTTCAATTTGTAATAATTGAAAAAGCAAAAAAAAAATTCTTAAAAAAAAACCACCCATTTAGAAATTCAGAAAACTTAGCTAATAATTTTTGGTAGTTATTAACATCAATACTATAGGATTACATAGGTAAGTGTAGGAAAATTTGAAACTAAGACAACAATTGCGTGCCTGTTTAAGATATTATAGGAAAATAAGTGTGAGCCTCAGCTCCTGTGGGCTCAAATGTGAAAGCCATCCAATTAGATGAAATTATTACTATTATACACGTTTTATTATGGAAAAGTTAAATTAAATATGGACTGAATTATTTGCACTCATACTGAATACAAAATAATTAATTTTAGAGCTCATAAGATGCTAATATTCACATTTAATTTTAATGTTACATATTTTCAAATAAGATTGCCAGCGAAAATATTTCCCGACTTACATGAATTTTTCTCAACTTCTAGAACTATCTTGAATTGCAGGACATTTATCAACGAGATGTTGCAATCTGGGTTATAGAAGGAGGACACGATTTCGGACACGGAAGAGACGTAAATTGCTTGGGTGACATTTTTTTAAACGAGTTATGGATCAGGCGAATGGAAATGTCAGGAATATAAACTGGTTTATAAAGGAATCTGGCTGGTTCACATGAATTTGAGGATTCTTAGTTTCATAATCAACTCTGTACTCTCTAAAACATTAATACTTAAAGAAACATTTTCATATATCCAACAAAAATTTTTTGCAATATTTTCTTTTATTTTCGTTCATAAGATTAAAATATTGTACCATGAACGGAAGACCAAAGTTATAACATACTGCATCTTCTTTGGCGGCATATGCATATTATGTATACATGCATATTTTAATATACTGCTTTACTTCCCGGGGAGCCCCCTTTTTTTTGGATGGTTTTTGAATAATCGACGAAAACTACAATTTTTATTTAACAGAAAAATTTTATTCTTTGTGGTTTAAAAAGATGCTGTTTCGGTGAATTTCTTTCCCCTTTAAAAAAGGAAGTATACGTATAAAAGATTTTTTTTGTGATATACGAGAATATGGAATTGAAGAAAAAATATTAAAGAGTTTGATCAGATTGACCTCACTTTTAAAAACCAAAGAAATCGTGGGAATAAATTTTCAGTAACGGTAAAATTAAATGTTAATATCCATTGCATATTAGTAATTTCCCATATGATTCTATTATAACAAGAAAAAGAGTTCTTGTATTCTTCGTTTTTCTTGTACATTTCAATTTAAATTCACATCGAAACCTGTCTACCAGACAGGTGTGTACCTGCCAGAAAACATAGGCGAATAAGATTTGCAAATATAAGACAACAATTGAATTTAAGTGTTACGGTTTAATGTATAGATACACTGAAAAATCCAAACTTTAGCTAAGCTTTTTTTGTTTACGCAATCTACAAATTCTGAAAATTCTAATAATCAGTCATTCGAAAATAACGGAAATGACTGTTTATTGTTGACTGTTGATTGTTTACGAAATTGTATCCCAATACTTTTTGCCTACCAATTCACTGCAAAATAAGGAAATTGTAACAAGATTTCAAGACTTAAGGAAAACTTACTTTAACATCCTTCAATATCTGAACCTGTCATTTTAAATTAAAAAAGAAAAAAAAATTCATGAGGTAGCGATAAAATTTATACTAGAAGTTTGCGCTACATTTTTAACATTTCTTTATTGCAGATTAAATTTCCGTACGTACTTTATTGCAGCCAGTAATTTCCGAACGATCTATATTTTTAGTGTGTGTAGCGTGAATTTCCGAACGTATTACAAATTAGAACTATTCTAGAACTAAATACATAAAAATCCCCTTAATGTGGTCAGTTAAAGCAAGAAAAATTTTAAAATTGTTGAGTTTATTCGTGCTAAAATAAAAGCAAACAACATGGTTCGATCGTACGATGACTTATGACTCAAGATTGAGGTAGCTACAATACAACTGATTAAAGCTGATTTAAAATATTTTAAGAACTAATTTTATTATAAGGCAAAATTTTGTGGAGGGAATAATTGATTTGTTCAGGATCGACTGAATTACTTGTTCTCCTTTTATTTGTTGTTGTAGAAAATATTCCCAAAATTCAGTCGACTGGCTCATTATTTCAGCATGTCTTTTTGTTTTATTTCGATTGAAAAATTAAAATACTATTAAAACTATTTTGCATGTCGAAAATCAAAGAATTTTCTATTGCTTCATTTCATTTTTGTTGTAAATTGCATTTCCTTTGTTTCTACGTAATAAATTCATAACGGCTGTATGTACAAATACTATATTTCACGTGTGTATTGGCAAGAATATTTCTTTTTTATTAGTAGTTTTGAAATTCCATATATGCACAATAATAATAATTCCATTTTTCATGTTAAGATTCTAAAGAATAAACTTCTCAGTTTAATATTATTTTGCTCATTTCATAACTCTGAAGGAGCATTATTATTCAAAAGAATATAAAATACATTATAACAGTATTTGTTATAAATGCGTTGCCTTATAATCTGCCATTTCGTTGTTAATCGAGTTTTGAAACTATTGCCCATAACAGCTGTATTTTATATTTTTAAATACAACCTCGTTGGATTTGGACTGATTAAGGATCTGGAAACTTAGATTTGAAAAATTATAAAGCAAAAATGTTCCTGCAATTGTCATGAAAATTATAATTTACTGTACCTTTAATAGGACACGGCTGCTGATTTATAGTAGTAGTAAAAATTAATATTTCTAATCAACTTCTAAGCGGGCAGCGGGCGTTTTTTCTAATCCATGTTGGTTTCATACAAGTTTCTTCAAAAATAAATAAGAATTAAATAATAATTAAATATATAATGTATAAAAAGCGAAAAAGAAAAATACTATGCAATTTTTCATACCATTTTATGTTTTCATTCATTTTTTTGTGCACGCAAGAAGGAAAATCAACGATCTAGAAATCACTTTTTAAAGAGCACCTATTTACTTTTATACCAGTTCCCAGTGAGTTACATTTATTTATTTTATAGCTTATTATTTTGTTTCAGTTTTCGAGCGCTCTATACAGATTGTTTGAACATTATTTGG